GTGATCTTATTGAAATATTTTCAATTTCTCTTATTTTAAAAAAGTTACCTGTATAAACCCACAGATAATCTGATGTGCCAAAAAATTTCATCTCTAAGAAGATATATTAACAAATATAATTTTGGGTACATTGCCAATTCTTTCGACATAAAAAGTCAGGAGGTAAGCTGGTTTTGAATTTTTGACAATGAGTAAAGAGTATTGTTCCATAAATGCATTTTATTCTGTTTCATATCCATTATTAAACACCTAATTTTTTATATCTCCTAAGTGGAACACATATCCAATATAATACGGGATAAACTCCATATTACTTTGATTTACTCTATACCACTTTGGACTCTAAGAACTTTAATTTTGGATGCAGAAAGCAGATCTCAATTAAGGCTGAAAAAATACCCCATTCAAAATCACTGGGGACTAAAGCGTTTTGATAATTATATAGTAATAATAACTAATAGTTATGCATAGGTAATATCTCAAATAATCTACATATAATAGAAATATAATTGGTTTCATTATTTTATCTTTTTTTAGTGATTAAAAGACCTTAGGGTCATCCTTATGTTTTTAATTATTATAAATATACCAGTTAATAAAGAGTTGTATTTTTAAAAGGCTAGATAGCAGAGTGATCTCTATGTCCTTGTGATGTTTAGGGTCTCTTTTCACAATAATTAATGAATCCTTAGCATTTAAAAATCATTTATTGAGCACCTACTACAGGCAGGTTTCTGTATTAATCTCTCAGCTCTTCCCATACAGCTTGAGTCAGGAGCCAATTAACATTGGATGTCTGATAAAAGATCTATGAATAATCTTTTAGGGGGACACCTGAGTAACTCAGTGGTTGAGCATCTGCCTTTGGCTCAGGGCGTGATCCCAGAGTCCCGGGATCAAGTCCCACATTGGGCTCCCTGCATGAAGCCTGCTTCTCCTCCCTCTGCCTATGTCTCTGTGTCTCTCTTGAATAAATAAATAAAATATTTAGGGAAAAAAAAAGAATAATCATTTAGTCCTACATAAGGAGTATATATAGTTAATATAATGAGAACTTTATAATAACGTATTAAAAAGGTATCAGTGGAAAGTTGTATGCTAATTTTATGGCATCATCTATATCTTACTGATTGAGAAAGCAAATTTCTGCTCATATTTGATCCATATTTTAATGAACTAATATGTGATCCTAAAATCTGCTGATATAAATTTAATAGGAATTATTTGACTTTAGGGATAGTTTAGCAAAAAAAAAAACAATTACACTTTTGTTTTCTTGGCTTTCTTTTTCTGTTATACCATTTAACTAAGTACTTTTAAAATTTTCTGAGTTCTATCAAAGAATTGCTAGCACCAGTTTCCTACTCATAAAAATTAATTAAATAAAAGGCACAATAATAAACATAAGAAAAATTGTTTTTCAGCACTATTTTCTTAATTGAATGTAGCAAACTCTAAGGGTCTTTTATGAGAACGAGGAATTATTCCTGGCACTGAGCACACAAAAATAACACAGATTCTCTGCCCTCTAGAAGCTTAAAGACCAGTGTGAGAATAAACATTTAAATCAATAAATAATTTCAATACAATTGGTAGAAATATGCACATAAAGGAAAGACTCTTAGCCTTTAGGTGGAGGGAGGTGAGGGACCAGTAAGGTGACCACCAGAAGTCATGAGAGAAGTTCATCAGAAGGTCTGCAGAGCCTTCAGGGTGATGATGCTCTGAGCAGACTTCTTGGATGAATAGGCTTAACCATGTAAAGAATGGAAAAATTTAGTGAAGACATGGAAGTGTGAAATAGCATGTTGGATCATAGGAAGCACAAACAGGAATTTCCTAAATTATGTTCTATCAAGATCCTGTGGTCCTTCTGTAGCTTTTGTTCCTTTGAACTTTACCATTTCATCCCTTATGCTCATAATGGAGGGCTATAAACTCCACCATCTGAGTCTATATCTCTGTAAAATTCAACCATCCAAAGCATAGAAAGGAATTTAGAAATGAAAAATGGCTTCCACAAAAGCCATGTGGTAAGAAGCAGAAGCTGACATCAAGAAGGAGACAAAATTTGTTTAATAACCCTGGAATATTTAGCGTAGGGGCATTCAGCTCTGTAAAGTTAAAAACCCCTGTGAGAATATATTATAGAATAATAACACATTACCAGATGGTCAGAATTGTGACCCAGGGTCACCAAGATAAAGTTATCTCTTGTGTATCTTGTTTATAAGACAGAGGGTTGTGTAATAAATACAATTTGAAAGATCTCTAGCCAATATTGTTTAAATAGAAAGGTTTTATAATAAATAAGAAACATGTCAATACCTATGAAATTCATATTTGTGAACCACCTCATTTCTCAACCATAACAGATAGAAGAAATACTGTTATTACAACACAAATAACAAAATTTAGCAACATCAAGAGTCTTTGGATAGAAAATATTTAGGATCACAGATTGTGAGAAAAGAAAAAAGTTATAGCTTCTGATTTATTATATGTATCAACTTTTCATTTTTACATGACACAATTTCAATTTCAAAAGCTTATTTCATCTGACATCTTCACACATGGAAAGTCTCAATAAATGTCTGTTGAAGAATAAACTTAAAAAAGATTTTATATGCTGTCGGAATGCCTAACTAAACAGCCTCACATTTAACAATAAACTGTAGCATGTTAATTTGACCACCATATTAAGGCAGAAAATAAAGGTATTCCATAAAATATTCTACTTTCTTATACTGCCAAGAAATGAGAGGTACACACTATTGGTCAAATCTCTGTATATTGAGGCCAAAATGTCAAGATAATATAAATATATTTTAAATATTAAACACACAGGTCAGATGAGTCAATCTCAGGTGGCTATAATGAACTAGATATTTTACTACTTCAACTACTCTGTCCTCAAGGACCTGGTGTTAGAACAGCCAAATTCACATCATTAACCTTTTATTTTTTTAATTTAATTTTTTCATTTAAGTGTTGAAGTTTTTGCATTAACTATCCTATATACCATCCATCTCTATGGACCTATAAATTTAATCTAGACATCTAAAATCAAACTGATCACTGCCTATATTCTATATTCCATTTCTTTCCATTTATAGTTTGAACATTCTAAATCAAATTCTCTACAAGTTTTCATTCCTTTCTTTGATTCAGAGAGTCTTTATTCAGGCTTATCTAAAAGTCTTTGTTAGGGGCATTATTATCCCAAATTATGCTATTTAGTTAATAATTTATTTCACATTAAATAAATGAATTTAGGAGTATTAATATTTACAGGGAAAACTCTAGCTTCCACAGATTTACACTATTCTGTATGTTAGTCTGGAGAAGTGAAATGATTAATAATAAGAAAAAATAGGGATCCCTGGGTGGCGCAGCGGTTTAGCGCCTGCCTTTGACCCAGGGTGTGATCCTGGAGTCCTGGGATCGAGTCCCACATTGGGCTCCCTGCATGGAGTCTGCTTCTCCCTCTGCCTGTGTCTCTGCCTCTTCTCTGTGTCTCTCATGAATAAATAAATAAAAATCTTTAAAAAAAAAAGAAAAAATAGTGTTGGATATTAATTTATAACCACAAAAACAAATTCAGTAACTTATAATAATCAAAGCATGAGTTTTTTAAATTATTTTTTCATAGTGTACAGTGACCTAATTTTCCTGTTCTTGGCCAACAAAACCTTTACATGTTAACAATTACACTTCATAAACTTCATTTTTAAATATTCACAATGTCAATTTTAAGAGCTATTTTTAAGCCCCAATAATTAAAAAATTTAAAAGCATAGTTTTCCATAAAAGAAAACACCTGAGGGATTATTCATAATGGCCATTTTAAAGTTTCCATATCCATACTAAATACATACTGTTCATTGACTTGTTTGGCATTCTATCTAAAAAGAAAAAATTTATATGGGCCACGGCAGTTAGAAAGATTGTAAGCACACCCATGTACAAACTGAGGATCCAGGATCACAAAATTGCACTCAATTATATTGCGGGGGGGTGTCTACCACCTGTATCTTGTGTTCCAGAATATTTAATAAAATTTAAATGACTTCATATACTCCAGACTTAAGAGTTGCCAAAGATCAAGGTTCATTGACAACAGAAGATCCTTTTATTTTTATGAAAAAAAAAATCCTATGCTATTCATAATATGTATCAAATTAACGTTTTCATTAGGTGTCAGTATCTCATTAATAGGTTTCTCACAAATTCTGATCTTCGAAATATCACCACCTTCCCCAATTTGAAATGCAGCTGCCATTTTCAAGGTTTTACAAACACTTGTTGAAAAGACCATTGAGAAGTTTACAACTGTAGTGTGAAATTTTAGTTTTCCTAAGTAAGTATCTACTGGAAAGTTTCTGAGAAGTTAGGATAGTTTCAAGACTTTAAAAAGTAATTCACATGAAACTTTTTAATTGAGCCTGATTTTTGCTTTGGGTAAAGAAGGATCATTAGAAGACAGAGTTCCAAGGGAACCACCAGTGCCAACCACTTAAAAAAATTTACCTTTCCCATATGACAGCATTTACTCTTACAAGAAAAAAAGAAAAACTTTCACATTTCATTCTAAATAAGTCACTCAGATTAGCATAATTCCAACGGACACTTGAGACCATGGATGAAAAAAGCATCCAAAAAGATCAGTGACTCCAACCTAGGTCTACTGCCATTTCAGGGATGCCCCTTAAGTACTCTTCCTCTGCATACTTCGAGTCGACCCCTCATGTCTGACAACCCCTAAGACACAAAATTGAGGAGAAGTTATCACTTTTCAAAGTTAGGTGGGGGCTGGGAGGGGGCAATATAAAGAGACGTATGAGAACCAACACGCTTTGCCTTCTGAAATTCCTCTTATTTACTCTTGACAAAAGAAATAAATAGAAGCAAAACTGAGATTCAGAAAGAACTCTCCCTGCTGCGTGCACTGGTTGAGCTTTTCAAAGACCCCTTAGAAAAGAAGCGGGCTGGACGCTCACCTTCCATCTCGCCGGCGGGCTGGGCTGGGTTGGAGCTGCGCTCTGGCTGCCCGGCCGCTCCACGTGCTCCTGCCGTCGCCGGGACGCAGCGCGCAGCTGGCGGGAGATTCCCGGCGCGGGGACTCCCCGGGATCCGGCCGCCGCGTCGGCGCAGATTGAAAGGGGCAGGAGCCGGCGACCGGCCGGTGCGCGGGGTTACAGCGGCGCTGGCTGGCGGCGGCTTTAAAGCACGATCGTCGCGGAGCGCCCGAGGTTCCGCACCTCCAACCCCCTTTTGAATGTGAAACCCAAGAACCAGATAGGATAGAAATGGCGCATCAGTAAATTGTCCCAAAGTGTCTATCTAATAAGGATAATAGATGGGAGAGTAATACGTGGGAGGAGGGGAGATCTGGGTCGTTTTCTTACAAGTTTAAGTTCAAAGAGGTTTGTCTTAAATTTAACAAGATCTGGAACTTTTGGTCTAGATTAGGGGATGACAGCCATGAATACCGTCAAAGAGAACTCACTTCCTTCGAAGTATTATGTTTTTCCTCCTCTGGGTTTTTCTTTTCACATGATAATTCCTGGTTCACGTTTTCAGAAAATTCTAAGACAGCTCAAAAGAATTTGGGCACTTTTATCAACTTAACTTTTTCATTTCGGGAAGCAAAAATTCTCTACTTTTGTTTTCCCTTCTGAGAACTACTTGCCACCACTCACAAAATATTATGCACTCTATTTACATGTTTGTTGTCTACTCTCCACCTTCTAAGTGGGATCTGAGACAGCTTACAAAAATACATATACATACATATAATGTATCAGAAAAGTAAGTAAAGAGAATTAAGGGGTGTGTGTGTGTGTGTGTGTGTGTGTGATAAGATAGTTAATTAACTCAAAGATGTTACTGCACAGAAACATACCAGTCAACATCTTTCCCTAACATCCTTCCCGCTTTTAGAGGTAAAAGGATAAGTTTGATTGTAGGAAAAGGAAAGAGGAAGTGCCTATATAACATTTTTTCAAAAGCAGAATTTTTCTTTACATTGAAGTCTAAGGGACGTTGTTCTGGTGAATCCTTATAAAGATATCTATTGTGTTGAATTGGACAACATGTGAATGATTCTAAAAAAGGCAACTCCCACCCTTGTTAGAAAATTATATTGTTACTGTATAAAAATATATTTCAGGCTTAAGGTTGGGGGATGTGCATCAGCAGAAACCCCACACTTACAAGTTAAAGTGTACATGTTGTGATTTTATGAATTTTAGTTTATTTTTAATATGCCTTGGTATAGAAGGTCAACATACATATATATGTGGGGGGGTGGGTGATTTTTTTTTAATGAGTAAATAAACACATTGGCTTTGTTTTAAGATTATGACACCATGGTAGTATCTTGATAGATTGCATGGGTTGGAGTTCCACAGGATGATATAAATTTTGGAGAAATACTCTAAACACCAGGTCTAATTATAGTATTGAAAGGGGAAATTTGTTGTTTGTTAGTTTCTAAAAGCAAAAATAGCACATCAAAAGTAGCAGAAGAGGAACTGTAAAATTTCACAGGGATGGTTTAAGGATGAATAGTTATTTGGTTATTAAAAGGATGTAAAAACTGTTATTATACTTAAGCAGTGGAACGTGTTACTACTCTGTAAGTAATTAGTTCAAAATGGAGAATTTCAGACTCCAGACTCCAGGGAATAGATAAAAAGTAGATGGATGAAATAATTTATGTAGCTACTCCACCATTAAGGAGGTGGAGCATAAATCCCCACTCCTTAAATATGGGCTTCCTATAGTGACTTCCTTCCAAAGAATACAGTATAAAAGGGATGGAAAAGAGTAATTTTCAAGTAGAGAAACCTGAAAAACACTACCTTAGCCAGGTGATCAGGGTAACATCAACAGTGATAAAATGTGTTGATAGTATGTAGCCTTAATGTGATATAATGGGAATGGCACTTTACAGTCTTCCACCCCAAAATCTATAGCCTTAGTATAATAAGAGAAAACATCAGTCAAATTTTAATAGAGAGGCATTCTACAAAGTATCTAACCAGTTAAGGTCAGGTAATGTCATCAAAATTGTCATTAACTTTCAAGGTTATCAAAAACAAGAAATGTCTGAGAAACTGTCACAGCCAAGAAGAACCTAAGGAGACCTGAGGACTTAATGTAGTGTGGGAATCTGGATGAGATTCTGGAACATGAAAAGGACATTAAGTAAAAACTAAGAAACCTAAATAAAATGTATACCTTATTTGATAGTAATGTATCAACTCTGGTTCATTAATTTTGAGAAATGTACTAATGTTAGATGTCAAGAGTAGGGAAAACCAGGTGGAAGTGCACAAGAACTCTGTACTCACACTTTTTCTGTAGATCTAAAATGGTTCTACGATTAAAAGTTTATTTTAAAAGAATGCACGGGTCCTTTCAACAAATAGCTACTACTTATTTGGTTAAGTCTCTTCTCACACTATTCAAAGTTTATTACATGGGATTTATAAGGATCTATTAGGATTTATAATGTACTTTGACTAAAGCTGGAATGGCGAACTGCTAGGGAATTAAAGATAATGCCTAAATTTGTCTTCATTATCACTCCCTCAAGAAAGAAGGGAACAGTTGAGACTAAACCATGAATCTAGACACAGTAACTGCCATTGGGTGGATCTGACTCACCGAATCACATCTCATGGTTTAAGCTATGTAGGTATAATTAACAGTGACTAAAAATGAAATTACTGACAAAGGTTGCTCCTGGACTATCTGAGATAGTCCAAGTACTGACTTGGCTCAAAGGAAATAAAACTGAAAACTCTTGATCTCACCCAAAATAATCATTCTGCACCCTGTCTGAACCTTGGTCTCTTTACCCATCAGCCTACTCAAAACCACCCCAGAGGGTGTCCCGCTGCTAAGAAATAGACAACAAACAGGCCACCAAACTGGTATCCAAGAAGGAACCATGAGCTCTGTGATCTTGACTCATCTATCATCCATCCCTATGGGAAAAGCAGACTTGGCGGATCTTGCCTTTCCGCTGGGCCCGTTTTCTTTTTTAAAAGATTTTTTTTTTTATTCATGAGAGACAGAGAGAAAGAGAGAGAGAGGCAGAGACATAGGCAGAGGGAGAAGCGGGCTTCTCGTGGGGAGCCTGATGTGGGACTTGATTCCAGGCTCAGGACCACGACCTCAGCCAAAAAAGCAGAGGCTCAACCATTGAGCCACCCATCTGCCCCTTGATTGGGCCCATTTTCAAAAGCAAGGTTAGTTCACAACCCTAGGTAAATTTGCATGGGGGTCTCCCAACACCCTTCGATATTTGATGTGAAAAATAGAGGTGAGGGCAGCCCGGGTGGCTCAGCGGTTTAGCGCCGCCTCCAGTCCAGGGCGGGATCCTGGAGACCAGGGACCAAGTCCCACGTCGGGCTCCCTGCATGGAGCCTGCTTCTCCCTCTGCCTGTGTCTCTGCCTCTCTCTGTGTGTCTCTCTCATGAATAAATAAATAAAATCTTAAAAAAAATAAAGAAAGAAAGAAAAGAAAAAGAAAGGTGAAATGTTCCTCTAGTGTGGGAAGGGCTGGAAACGCCTTCTTGGCACATGAGTGGTTCTTCGTTTTTGGGGGGGAGGGGTACAAAATGCGGCTAGGTAAAAATAGGGTGGAAGAGTTTGGAAAAGATGCCACACACAACTTCAGGCAGAATTCACGAGGAGCAAGGAACGGGAAATTCGCACAAGCTCTTTGCTTCCTACTAGGAGGAAATTCTCACATGCGTCTCCCCCCCGCCCCGCCCCCGATTCTAATGTAATTGCATCCTTACTCGCCTTACCCCACCGTCCCACTTGGGATCCACAGTGTTCCTCTGGTGGGTCGCTTCAGCTTCCAGAAAAGGAAGTAACTGAAACGCGAAGGCTTGGCTTCTTTAACATTACCCTTTCCTTAACTTGGGAAGGGGCGTGGCTACTCAGAGAGCTCGGTCACAGAGAGCGCGGGAAAATGGTGCCGGGCGCGAGGCGCGAGGCGCTCACACGAGGGGAGTCGCGTGCGCACGCGGGGTTGAGGCGCTCGCCTCCCACGCTCGGGCCCAGCATGCGCCCGCTACCTCCTGCGCACGCGCGCGCATAGGCGCGAGCAGCGAGGCCCCAGAGCGCGCATGCGCTCTCCTGCGCGTCCGCTCCCACTGTAGCTAGGGACCGGTAGGGGAGCTGACCCCGGCGGTTTGCTCCGCTCTGTGGAGGAGAGATGGGGAGGCGCTGGGCCTGGGCTGAGGTAGGAAGGAGCCCGCCCCTCGACGCCTCCCGTGACGCTAGCCCCTGAGCCGTGATGCGAGCGTGGGTCCTACTCTCCGCGGTGCTCTGGTACCTCACTGGAGGTGGGGCTCCTCCCTCTGCCCCCCTCTCCCCTGTCCCCCACCCTCAGTCTCGCCCCTCTTCCCAGTCCTGCCCGTTCCACTTCACTTTGCCCTGCCCCACTCTGAGCTCCCACTCTTCTTCTACCTAAAGTCACTGGTTTCTTTCTTCCACAGTTGGATGGCAGCGTTCTTCTGAACGCACCGGGAAAGGCTTCATTTATGGCAGACCCGGACACCCAGGTACTGAGGACCTCTTCACCTGAAGAGTCTATCAGAAGAGCCTGGTGTGCAGTGGACCTACTAAAGGCTCTTCCAGCGGAGGGAAAGGGAGAGAAAGTTCATTGAACGTCCACCTGGTGCTTGGCACTCGCGTCATTTCATCCTTACAGCGATGCCTGAGTGTGTATCATCTGGCCTAAAGCCACGCAGCTCGGATTCATTCCAAGATTTTCTCGATGCCACCTCACTGCCAGGCGTCTCCGCTGCTCTGCAACCTGCGAGGCCCACTCAGAGTCATTTCCAGGGCTGCAAGTCCCTCTGTTTGGAGCTCCTACAGTCCTTTTTTTTTTTCCTAAAGATTTTATTTATTTATTCACGAGAGATACAGAGAGAGAGGCAGAGACATAGGCAGAGGGAGAGAAGCAGGCTCCCCGCGGGGAGCCCAATGTAGGACTCGATCCCGGGATCCCGGACCGGGATCATGCAAGGCAGCTGCTCAACCAATGAGCCACCCAGGAGTCCCTCCTACACCTCCTTTAAGGCTCAGCTCCAATGTCCTTTATCACTGTGATGACTCTTTCCCACACTCTCCGAGGAAAATTAGTCACGTAGCTGACTTAGATAATTTGGGGCCAGTTCACGTCATTTGTCTTATTTTGGGATATCTCCGTCTTTGGAGCCCCTCTTTTCTCCAACACCCAAATTGTGGTTTGGTGTCTTCTTTTAAGGTTTAGGACCTGGCATTCAGTAGACTTTCTTTTCTTTTTTAAGATTTTATTTATTCATGAAAGAGACAGAGAGAGGCAGAGACAGGCAGAAGGAGAAGCAGGCTGCCTGCCTTGAGCCTGATGTTGGACTCTATCCCAGGACACTGGGATCACGCCCTGAGCCAAAGCAGACACTAAACCACTGAGCCACCCAGGCATCCCTCAGTAGACTTTCAAATCAATATCTTGTGGGACTGCATTGGTTCTAAGTAGAGTATTGCTGCCTCTACTAGATTTGAAACAGAATAGGTAATTACAGAAAACCTCTCTAGTATGCCCCCATATAAGTTTAATTATTGTCCCCCAAAGAGGGCATTTGTAGATAAATATTAAGTTCCTTTTAGGGATGACAATGATCATCTTGAGAATAGTTTCACAACCAATTTCAAATCATTTTCTGACCTGTAAATTGATTCCACTAACCCTTCAAAAAATTGTGATTTAAGTGAGTTCTGAATCTGTGCATTAAGATGAACCAAATATATCATGTACATTTTTATAATAAAACTATAATATCACAAAAAAGAATATGGACTATCAGACTAGAGTTTTAAAAACTTAAGAAGGAATTTATGTTAGCATTCTCAATGTTATAATGATACACTGATTTTCAAAATACTGAAATTCAAAAAGAACTAATCAGTGTGTCTTTGGGGCCAAACTGTTAGGAACTATATTTCTTAATTTAATTTTGCTTTATATTATTTTATTTTGTCATAGTGAAAATATATGTAAAATTACATCACAATAGCCCAATCCTTGCCTGTATGGATTTTAGACGTGCTAAAAAAGAAACAGTGGACCCCACCTACTTATGGATTGGGCCTAATGAAAAGCCATTAACAGGTAATTTATCTGATCTTAGTATCTTCTTTTTAAATGATGGGGACTTTTTTTAAAAGTGAAAAGCACTGTCACTTATTGGATTGAACAAACTGAAATTTAATTTCAACTGCAGTTTCACTTGCTCCATATTTAGATATAACAAATCATATCTTCATCTGTGCTTTATTTTCTCTTTATGAAAAAACTGAAGCAGTAATTTTTGTATCCTACTTCCCAGAGCTATATTCAAAAGTTTTTATAAAACCTAAAAATTAGGGATCCCTGGGTGGTGCAGCGGTTTGGCGCCTGCCTTTGGCCCAGGGCATGATCCTGGAGACCCGGGATCGAATCCCACGTCGGGCTCCCGGTGCATGGAGCCTGCTTCTCCCTCTGCCTGTGTCTCTGCCTCTCTCTCTCTCACTGTGTGCCTATCATAAATAAATAAAAATTAAAAAAAACCTAAAAATTATCTTTATAGCATATATATTGGAGATAAAGTATTGAATATGTAATTCTTCATGATGTTAGAAGAGTGTCTTGGAATATTAGCATTATTAATTTCTGTCTTATGTGAGGAAATTGTGTAGTATGACAGAGCAGTGTGATCTCATTTACTAAATTATCAACATAAACCAATTGAAATTAAAGGCCAAGAAATGAGCTAAAGTAAACCAAAAAATATATACCTATATATATATATTTTTTAAGATTTTATTTATTTACGCATGAGAGACACACACACAGAGAGAGAGAGAGAGAGAGAGAGAGAGAGAGGCAGAGACACAGACAGAAGGAGAAGCAGGCTCCATGCAGGGAGCCCAACGTGGGACTCGATCCCGAGTCTCCAGGATCACGCCCTGGGCAGAAGGCAGCACTAAACCGCTGAGCAACCCGGGCTGCCCCCAAAATATATTTTAAAACTGTACTTATGTGGTTTTCCAGAGAGTAATAACAGAATTAAGATTTTTTGAATTCTTGAAGTTAAATAGTCCATTTTTTCATTTTTGTATTCATTTGTAACCCCAAGTTTACTAAATAATATTTGAATTGTTATATGTTAAATAACTAATTTACTATTTCTGTTTAGTAAATGATCGAATAAATATAACTAAAACAGGAAAGCTGAAGGTGAAAGATTTTCTGGAGGCTTTGTCTGGACTTTACACGTGTACTCTTTCTTATAAGACTGTCAGAGCAGAAACCCAAGAAGAAAGTATAGTAAAGCAAAGATATGACTTTCTGATCTTTGGTAAGAATATGGGCACATTTTAACTTACACATTTAGCTTGGATAAGAATTAAGTGAATGGTCTCCTCATTTAGTGAAAATGAGTCTGTTGTATATAATCATCATGACTTACGGAGTATTTTAGCATATTTGACCACACAAACTCTTAAATTGACATCTGGATAGTGTGTGTCCTAAATAATCCTCTTTCAGCCTCCTACTTTCTACCATCTAGGTGTGCATGCACAATCTACTTTATCACAATTTGCCAGGTAATTTAAAACTGATGTTTAATTCTATAAAAGCAAATCGATGATCCTTTTCACTGGCCTATGTTGACAACAGTGACACTTTCTACAAATTAAGACATTTCTCCATCTTATTTTTTTTTTTGATACTGTTAACTTATCTATCCATTCAGCCATTTCTTCTCTTGTACTGAGTAGATAACATACCAGGTGAAAACAACCTTTTTTCATTAAATTCACTAGTTTTGTGTATTTTTTGAGGACAAACTGATAGAACATTTTATTAGATAAGTTTCTATGTTGATTTGCAAGATTAATGTGATTTAATATTACGTGTTATTTGCAAATTGTTTGGTAGAGGAAATTAATGGTAAGCACAATTGTTTTTATTCTCATCTTTTTTTTAAAGCCTATCGGGAACCTGATTATTCATATCAGATGGCTGTACGTTTTACCACAAAGTCTTGTGAAGGAAGATATAATGACCTGCTTTTTAGAGTGCTGAAGAAAATCTTGGATAACTTAATCTCTGATTTGTCATGCCATATCATAGAACCATCATATAAATGCCATTTTGTTAAAATTCCAAAACATGGCCTCCTACATGAGCTATTTATAGCTTTTCAAGGTAAAAAAAAAATTAACACTTCTTTAATTTGAGATGTCTTACAAATAGTAGGCATTACAATATTTGTTAAGCACTAAAGTATACTGTTGATTCTAGCCTGGTTAAGGTTTTAAAAATGAACAATTAATTATTTACCTTAACAGTAATATATTGTTGCTTATCTTTTATTTTTTATTCATTTTATTTTTTAAAATAGGGTCCAAACCCAATGTGGGGCTTGAATTCACAACCCTGAGATCAAGAGTTGCATGCTCTATAGACTGAGCCAATCAGGCACCCCAATATTGTTACTCATCTTTTAGAAGTTGATATCATTTTATACATACTATGCAGCTAATATTTAATTTATAAATTCTTATAAAATTTAATTTGTATTTTTTAGAAGAACTTAATAAAAGGGTGGAACAAAACCAAATTGATTTCCATTAATTTTAAAGCCTTGTAGTTACTTTGATTAGCCCCCAGATGGAGTGAAATCATAATGTATAAATTATTCAAATTGTACACTTTATTACTAGGATTAGATAGTTTAAACACATGCATGCATGCATACTGAATTCAGCATTTAAAACTTTATTGGAATGTTTGGAATTTTTTAGAATTCTTTTGTGAAGATATCATTTTTTTCCTCTCCAGTCAATCCTTTTGCACCAGGGTGGAAAGGTGCATGCAAGGATTCTGTTGATTGTGAAGATACCACTAATCATAATATCCTCCAGGTGAGAATTTCAATGTAGGGGGAAAGTATTTGAATAGTTAAGAAAGCTATGTAAAAATTTTTGTAAATATTTCATTTTATTAATTTAAAAGTTTCTTCAAAAATCTATTTTTCCATGTTGTGAGTATTTATTAATAATAGGCATTCTAGCAAGTAGATTTAAATTATTATTTTAAAAAATATGAAGCATTATTGATTTTTGTTTCATTTTTTTAAGCAGAGATTGTGAGAGTCTTGCCTATTTCAAGATGTTTTGTTTTGGAATAATACACTTAGAATAATACATAGCTCCCCAGGTTAATAGTATGTAGTTTTTCTCTGATGGAAGAATGGATCCCTGGTTTTTGTTTCTCAAGTGGTAACTAAGCAGCAACTTGAAGAACAGCCCCACAATCATGTAATCCTAGGTTAAACCAGTAGTTCTTCCAAAATTGTATCTATGTTGGTCATAATAGTTGCTTTCCCCTCTGCCATTCTCAGAGGCTAAGGACATAGTCTAAAAAATTACTCTCCTGATCTAGTCCTGAGCCCATACCCTTAATATTGTGCATGGCTTATGGAAAGCATTCAGTTAATATTTGTTATTATTAAACTCTGTTTTCAGGGGCACCTGGGTGGCTTAGTGGTTGAGCATATACCTTTGGCTCAGGACATGATCCTGAGGTCCAGGGATTGAGTTCTGCATCAGGCTCCCCACAGGGAGCCTGCTTCTCCCTCTTCCTATGTCTCTGCCTCTCTGTGTCTCTCATGAATAAATAAATAAATAAAGCCTGTGTTCAAAAAAATAAAATTTACATCATTGGTTTCTAATACTGATTAGAGAACAGTTTTGGTTTCTATTTTGTTTGGCTCTTTGGAATTAGAAATAATGAACTCTCATGGAGTAGACATGCTGCAAATAATTTAAACCTCAATTTAATTTTTCTTAAATATTGTACATATGAAATGACAATTGAATAAGGTCAAGGCTAGATTAATTTTAGTATTAATATAACTTTTCAGGAATTCATCTGTTGGGTATAGCATGACATGCTTATACTATGTTTCATTGCCTCTGATACAGGGGGATAAATTTGGTTCACAGTTTAGTAATTGTACTTCTTTCTGGTATTTTAAAATCTTAGGCAAGAGATCGGATAGAAGAATTTTTCCGAAGCCAAGCATACATTTACTACCATGACTTTAATAAAACTATACCTGCTATGCACTTTGTGGACCACAGTTTTCAAGTAGTACGTTTGGATAGCTGTCGTCCAGGCTTTGGAAAAAATGATGGTCTACACAGTAATTGCGCTAGCTGTTGCGGTAATTATAAAATATAACTATCTAAATATTTAGGTTATGTAGTCAGAATAGATGAATAATTACCTTAGGATTATTGAATATAGTGCTTCTTTCACAAAATGTTATATTTAGTTAAAGGGAAGTAAAAATTCAAAGTCTAAATTTCTAATTATAAGTATCTTTATGTATATTAACTCTTCCTAATGCATTCTTCTGTGTTATAAAACATTTCCATAGTGTTCTGAGTTAAGCTGCTATGCTATGAAGGAAAACAACAGAATGGTCCTACCTAGGAAACAGAATTGGAAATAGAAAGTAGAGAATTAGAAATAGGAACTCATAAATGGGGCACTGCAGAAGATACTGTAAAATGCTGATTTTAAAGGGAAAAATAGGATCCTAACTTTCTCCTACTTTTAAGATCATGAAATTACAATGTTTCAAACTCATAAATAACCTTCCACAACTTAATTGGTGAACATTACTCAGTATAACAAAGGTATAGAAACACTGTGATACTGAAAGCAGATTGATATTACTGGTATAAAATACCTCTAACTGAAATGATGGTAATCTACTCCGTGTTTTTTCCTCTGCAGTGGTTTGTAGTCCTGGGACTTTTAGTCCTGATGTTGATGTTACTTGTCAGAACTGCGTTTCCGTCCGTATTTATGGAGCTAAATCTTGTGCATAAACTTCAAACAAAAATTGTAATATGAAGACTAGAGGTGAAAGTATGTTCCTTGCTTGTGGAGGTGGGGAACATAAGATAATTTGTTCACATCCCGGAGCATCAAAGATCCATTAAGTAAGATCAGTAGGACCAAAACATTGGAAAACATACATTTTAGAAACTTTAAAAAATAGTTGACTTGGCATTTCTAAGAAGGAATTTAATATCTCCAGTGTACAAAGGAAAGTATTAGCGGATGTTTTTCAATGAAATATGTTTTGCTGTTTAGAAACTGAATCTGTCGCTCTGTACTTAAGACTATATTAAGGTCAAGAAGAGTAGCAAAGGATAACATAATAAAAACTTTATACTTTCTATGTATTAATTTGTTTGAAATCACTCTGATATGATATAAAGGCATGTATATTACCTTTGTAATTAGAACCAAAAAACTTATTTCCTTTGGTCCCTTTGCTTTAAGTTTGTTTTTAAAATAATTTGTTTTGAAAATACAGTTTCAGATTTATAGATAACTGAGCAGATATTAAATAGAGTTCTGTATACCTACTCCAGCTCATGTCCCTCACCCTTCCCCAATTTCCCCTACTGTTAACCTCTTGCATCAGTGTGATACATTTGTTACAATTAATGAACCAATGTTGATACTATTATTAACTATAGTTCATAGTTTACATTAAGGTTCATTCTTTGTATTATACAGTTCTATGGGTTTTGACAAATGCATAGTACCTTGTGTTTACCATTACAGTTTCATACAGAATAGTTGCACCACCCTAAAAAATCCCTTGTGCTTTACCTATTCATCTTGCTCTTGCTCCAGAACTCTTGACATGACTGACTTTTTTATTGTCTCTATAGTTCTGCCTTTGCTAAAATGTCATGTACTTGGAATTATACAGTATGTAGGCTTTTCAGGCTGGCTTCTTTCACTTAGCAATAGGCATTTAAGGTTCCTACATGTCTTTTTTGTGACTTGATCATTTTTTATTGCTGAACAATATCTCATTGTATGGATGTATGAAGGACATACATGGAAGGTTGCTTCCAGTTTTTGGAGATCATGAATAAAGCTGCTGTAAACATTTGTGTGCAGGTTTTTGTGTGGACTTAAGTTTTCAACTCAATTGCACAAATACCCTAGGAACATGATAGCTGGATTGTATGGTAAGATTATGTTTAGTTTTATAAGAAACTGCCAAACCATCTCCCAAATTAATTTACCATTTTTCATTCTCACCAGCAATGAGTATGTTCTTGTTGCTTCTCATCCTCACCAACTTTTGGTATTTTCAGTTGTTCGGATTTTGCCATTCTAATAGGTATATAGTAGTATTTCATTGTTGTTTTAATCTGAAATTCTCTAATTACATCTGATGCTGAGCATCTATTCATATGCTTATTTTGTATATCTTCTTTGGTTAGATGTCTATTCAGATCTTTGTTCATTTTTTATTGGATTGTTTATTCTCATTGCTGAGTTCTAGTAGTTCTTTGTATATTTTAGCTACAAGATCTTTCTCCGATACATGTTTTGCAAATATTTTCTCCCATTCTTTTAACAGTCTTTCATTAAGCAGAAGCTTTTAATTTTAGTAAAGTCCAACTTACCATTTTTTTCTTTCATGGATCATGCTTTTGGCATCATACCTGGAAACTCTTCATCAAACCCATAGTCATCTAGATTTTTCTCCTATTATATTCTAGAAGTTACATAGTTTCATGTTTTACATTTAGGTCTAGCATTAATTAATTTTTGTGAAAAGTATAACTTGTGTGTCTAGATTCATTTATTTGCATATGGATGTCTAGTTCCAGCATCATTGTTGAAAAGACTATCCTTTGCTCCTTCGTCAATGATCCATTGACTACATTTGTGTGGGTCTATGTCTGGGTTCTCTATTCTGTTCCATTTATCAATTTTTCTATCCTTTCATCAATACCATGCTGTCTTGATTACTGTATAGTAAATCTTAAATTTGGTTAGTATCATCAGTCCTCTGACTTTCTTATGGATCTTTGACCTTCCATATAAACTTTTGAATCAGTTTGTTGATAACCACCAAATAACTTGCTGGGAATTTGGTTGGAATTCCATTACGTCTAGATTGAATTGGGAAAAACTGACATATTAAAAATATCAAGTCTTCCTATCCAGGAACATGGAATATGTCTCTATTTATTTAGATCTTCTTTGATTTATTTAATCAGAGTTTTGTACTTCTCCTCACGTAGATGCTGTACATATTTTCTTAGATTTATGCCTAAATATTTAAAGTTTTTGGTGCAAATATAAAATATATTGTATTTTTAAAATTTCAAATTCCACATGTTCATTGCTGGTATTTAGGAAGGCAATTGACTTTTGTATATTAAGCTTATATTCTGTGATCTTACTGTAAATGCTTATTAATTCAGGATATTTTTTGTTGATTCTTTGGACTTTTTTTTTTCTTTTTAAGATTTGTTTATCTGAGCACGTGCATGGGGAAAGGGCAGAGGGAGAGAGAATCCTAAGAAGACTCCATGCTGAGCATGGAGCCTGATTCTGGGTTCTATCTCATGACTTCGAGATTATAACCAAGAGTCAGATCCTCAACCAACTGCACCACCCAAATGCCCTGATTCTTTGGGCTTTTCTACCTCAACAATAATGTTATCCATGAACAAAGACAGTTTTGTTTCTTCCTTCCCAATCTTTTTCACTTTCTTGTTTTGTCTTACTGCATTAACTAGAACTTCCAGTATGATACTGCATAGGAGTGGTAAGAGAAGACATCCTTGCCTTGTTCTGGATCTTAGAAAGCATCCAGTTTTTTTACCACTAAGTATGATGTTAGCTATAGTTTTTTTTTTATAGATATTCTTTGTGAAGTTGAGGAAATTCTACTCTATTCTTAATTTTCTGAGAGTTTTTATCATGAATGTGTATTGGATTTTACCAAACGCTTTTTCTGCATTTATTGATGTGATCATATGATGAGATGGATTGCATTAATTGATTTTCAAATGTTGAACAATCCTAGTATATTTAGAATAAATCCCTTTTGCTCATGGTGTATAATTATTTTTATACATTGTTGAATTTGATTTGCAAATAGTCTGTTGAGGATTTTTGCTTTTAGGTTCATAAGATATATTGGTCTGCAGTTTTCCTTTCTTGTAATATCATTATCTGGTTTTAATAATAGGGTTATTTCGTATTACTATTAACATGGTAGATATGCAGGTTCTTTATCTGGTGGAATGACCAAAACCTTCATTCCCAAAGGTATGGGTCCTCATATTCTGCCCTTTTTTATTAGTGTTGCTATGTAGTTTTCCATTAACCTTTATTATTGGGCAAAGAACTAAGAGGCACCACAGAAAATCTCCTGGGTTCCAGAAACGGTCCTCCTTGCTGCCATCATGAGAGAATAGCAACTCTGTTCTCCCTTGGTAATCAAAATCATCACTTTAGTCAGTAAGTTAACACTCTACCTCCTTTTTTTCTGGCCTGTTGTTTCCATAGCATATGGAGCTTAAATGTCCAGATAGCAGTCTCATCTTCCAACTCAGGAAAGAACCATTGTTGTGTTTCCTGGTAGAAATATTCCCCACTTGAGGATGGTGATCTCCAAACCAGTAGAGCTCAAAGTCGCCAGGATAGGAAGTAAAATTCTGCAAGTGGGTTACTAGGTGTAATTTTGAGAGGATCCACTCCTACTTCCACCTCTGATTCTGGACTATATTGACTATGAAGGAGAGACACCACTGTATATAGGTCCCCAATTCAAAGCATTTGCAAAACCCCTTCATTTCAGGGTATTTTCTCCCAACTGACACTGTAACTGAGATTTTAGCAAGCCATTTCACCTTTCAGTTATGCCAGCTGCTTCTGAGTGATGGGGTATGTGGTAAGACCATTTAATTCCATGGTTATGAGCCCATTGCTTTACTTCCTTTGCTTTGAAGTGAATTCCTTGATCAGACACAATGTCGTGTAGAATATCATGATGGTAGATAAGGCAAAGGCACTCTATGAGTCCACTGGTGCTGGCAGAAGCATTACGAACACAAAAGGCAAATCCACACCCAGAATTTGTGTCTATTCCAATAAGGATGAATCTCTGTTGTTTGGATAGTTTTACTCTATCAGTGTAAAAGGAATTAGTCATACAGGTTAATGAATATAATGTTGCCCTCGATAGACTTACACATTATTCTTTTTTATTTATAATAGCTTATTTCATTTTGAAACAGAATTTTATAAAAGTGATATATACAATGTGAAGATTTTAATGATTGAATTCTAAAGGGAAACTTCTGTCTCCTTAAGAATTAAATGTCTTGAGGTGCCTGGGTGGCTCAGTTGGTTAAATGTCCAACTCTTGATTTCTGTTCAGGTCATGATCTCAGGGTCTTGAGATCAAAACCCATGTTGTGCTCCACCTTCAGTGGGGAGTCTGCTTGAGATTCTCTCTCCCTCTGCCCCCCACCCCGGTTGCTAATACACACTCTCTCTTTCCCTCCTAAATAAATAAATAAATCTTTGAAAGAAAAAAAAGAATTAAATGTCTCCTTCTTGAAGGTAGAACTACCACCAGAACCATTCTAGAGAGATAGATGCCTAGGGAATTGAAGGCAGAAAGCTGCATGTGCTCCTAAAGAATAGCTGACACCTATATAACACTATGTGCCAGGTACTATTCTAAATGTTTTTGATGTATTTTCTCAATAGTCCTCATGTCCATCATGGTAGGTAACATACTCATTCACATTTTATACAGAGCAAACAGAAGAACATAACTGTTAAGTAATTTGCCCAAAGTCACACAGCTAGTAAGTGGTAGAGTTGGCACTGGAAGTCTCCGGAATCTAAACTCTTATACTAGCTCTTTCTTGGCAAGTTTTATCTTAACAAGTAATAACTATTCCTAACATTTTGTATGAGCTCTTCAAATAAAGCAGTTTAATGAGATAATGCCCATAGGCAAATATGATATGAGCAAAGTACAAACTCT